ATTTGTATCACGTGAGAAACACACTTCGCCACTTCCATTAAAAAATCTAATGGAGTTGAATAGAAAAGCTCAATTAACAAAATTAGAGAGCTTAAGAGCTCAAATTAATACAAAAAAAAAATTCAATGACTTAATTGACACAGTAATAATAATTTAAGGGTCATATGTATAATTTACTCCACGGGATCGAAAAATTGAGGGAGTGATGTTGTTTCACAGAGTCAGATTTGAATTAATCTCAGGGCCTAGACTCAATATGGTTTTTTGAATTTTCTGGCCTATATCCACATCACATCTTAGCCCAACAGGCCCATGTATTGGGCCTTGAATTTGCCCTTACTAGCCTAATAAGCCCAGCACACCGGGACATGGCACTCAACAGTTAAGTTGGACGTCAGTCACCAGCAGCAGGTTGGACCAAGTTGAATCCCAGCAGCTATAATTGGTTTAGTGGAAGTTGAGAGTTGCAGGATGAACCCGACCCAATTCAATTACTAAACGAATTAGGTATGGATTAAGTCATTAAAAAAAATATAATAATTCATTTATATATCAGTTATACATGATTCATATATAATACAAATTCGATATAACACGACTTGTTAGACAAATTAATAAACGATAGAATACTTCTATAGACTAACCCGTTAAGACCCAACACGACCCGACTCAGTCAACATGGATTTGGGTCTAAATGGAATTAAAACACATTTCTTAAAATCGATGTGAATTGAATTCAAGACTTATAGATCACTCTCCGAGCCATTCAAAAAGCATCTTAAAATTCAAAATTAACTGAACTGTTGATGTGTACAAATCCTAACCAATCAAACTGAATTAGAGAGGAGCCTAACCATGGAGAGCGGTCATTCAGAGTGAATTAGAGTCTAACTCTGATCATGGAAGTTGTACACTATAACTTCAGGTGAATACATTATTTGCGAACTATTAGATCATGATCACTAATTAGTTATATGAAAAGCTTGAAGGAAGATGAACATGGAGTTCTTTACTTTAAATCTACCTTTTATAGTTTTCTTCATTCTTTCAGTTCTATCATATACATATTAACTTTAAATGGCATGATTCAGACATAAACGATGTAACTCAGTTACTCCCTAATTTAAATGGTCAAGATTTATTCACCTCGAGAGATTAAAATAATTTTTTGCTTTCTTCTATCTTGCATTGCTAATGCCATCTTTAGTGCCGAAAGAAGCAAAGATAGTTAGGTCATTAGCCTTGAAAGAAGGGAAAAACATTCCAAAGGAACAAGATGGCTATTAAACATTAGTTTGATTGCAAATGAAAGCAAAAGCACCCACCAAATTAAATAGCAGCATTCACACATATAAAACATAAAGCAGATACCAAACCAACAAGAAAAGAATAGCCTTTTAAATTACCTTTTTTTTTTTTTAGCGGGTGTCTAGACCAGTTTACATGTATCTCTATTATTCTCTTTCGTGATCCGATCAAGGGCAAGTTATCCTCACCAAGATTATTATATATGATTTAGCAATTTGAAAAAATTAACTTTTTAAATTAGTTATTCACCATATAATACACGNTCAGGCTGAAAGCAGGCTATCATTATAGCAATACCTTAAAGCGTGGGGATCGGCGAAGTGATGAAGCAGAACCGGGAGACAGAATTGCCAGTTTACCACCTCTGCCATGGTTAACTTTCCTGGAAACTGTGTTGTTTTCTCCAAGTTGAAGCTCTGTTGTCTTGGCTAGAGATTCACTTCTGTCAGTCGAAACTGAAGAAACTGGGGCAGATACAGAGATTATGGAAGAGTCCTGATCAATAGAGGTAGCTTGAGGAAAAATTCCTGGAGAATCATAAGACGCATCCTTAGAAATAATACCACAAGTAGTACCCCATTGGAATCAAGAACAGGCATGCTACTAATCCTTTCCCATTATTGCACATGACATTTATGGGAAAATGTCACATGTATGTGGGACATGTCAAGCACCTCCTTCGGTTTTATTTCATTAGCACTACCGGCAAGGGTCAATGCCTCCAAAAATCTATCAAATTTCAACAGAATATGACGCAAAGGAGAAGAATGCAAGACATAATATCATACCACATGCTGCTGATTGTTGAAACTTCTCTCTCATACTTCTGACAAATTTGAATAGTCCATTGCTTCTATTCAACTCATTGATCAACTCTTTGGTATCATTAAGATGTGGATCACAGTCGAGCACTGAAAATTGAGAATATTTTTCGTCAAATGCTCTTACAAAATGTTTTTCAAGATTAAAATTCAATGAATGAATAACACAAATATACTTACAAGTGTAAATATCATTCTCATGTCGAACGGTGAAGAAGTATTGCTCAATAGGATTCTTGACATTAATGTTAGAGAATATAAATTTTACACCTAGAGAAACAAAAAAAAAACTAAAAACATCTCCTGACAAAAATAAAAAAAAATATCCTGAAAGTTTAGGATTTACATACCATGTCCAGATTCTATCCAGAAACCAAGGTTCTTATTGAACCATGATATGGCTTCTTCTATTTGTTCTCTATGTTCAGTGCCCTCATCATGCTTTTCTTCATATGCTGCCAAAGCTTGATTAGAACAAAGAAAAGCAGAAAAAAAGTGAGCACAACTCAAGCGGAAAACAAGGAAATTACATATTTGGGACAGCAAACTGCAAACCTTCTAATAAATGTTCTGAGGATGGATAGATAAAGAACACCATAAACTGACATCCAGGGCCGACTTATAAGAAAAGAGAGGGAGAAAGAAAGAAACAAAATATGTAAAAGTAACTTCCAAGAAATGAGAAGGGGAAAACAGACATTAAATATTAGCATCACTTTGTTTTAACAGTTTTTTCCTACTTGAACATAGCCAAAAAAATAAATTTGAAACACCCTAGACATACATGGTTTCACTGGAATAATTCAGGACAGATTCCAATTGACAATTGTAAAAGTAAAACTACTCTGGGGCCAACATATTTTGTTGATATCTCACATGAACAATGTTTTCCTTACCTAAATTGTTATGCGCGATATAACTTTAACAAGTATTACATTTTGCTGTTTTACATTTCATTAAATAAATTGCTCCCAAGACAGTCAAGGCAAGCTCGCATGAAAGAACAAAGCTTACCTTCAGATTGTTGAGATAATATTGCAGCATATTTATCTTTCCTAGCCCTTTGATCTTCCACAATTCTTCTAAGTTCTTCTACTCTAGTTTTTGTTGCAGCTATGGAGTCCACTGTGACCAGCCGCTTTGTCTCTTTATGGGTTTTCACTTCAGATGCATAAAAAAAATAGTAAGGAACACAGAAGTACCAAAGATATGAGGAAAATAGAGGAAACAAAGTTGCTGCTAGCTGGACAGAGAGAAATTCTTACATCTTTTGAAACGAATCAATTTCACATGACATTTTCCACCAACCCAAATGAAACAATGAAGACTAAATTTCAGTTCCCATAAGCAAATTTCACCAAATGCAAATCAACACCAACAACAAGAGATACCTGCAAGAGCTTTCACCAAATCATCCTCCGCATCTCTCAG